GAGGACACAACTCAACAACGAAAGACACACACCCACGAATTTCCTCACCCACATAAATATTAAATTAAAATAAAATAAAATAACCCGGGATTAATGACCCTAAAATCTCTCCCATAAGCAACAAATCTAATCTAATTTAAATTATATTAGCAGACACTCAAAAGTCAAAGTAATTATATATATAACTACTCTAACATGCATTTTTTTATTCAGCTGTTTTTTATTGCATTCATTAATTTGTTGTTAATGGTATTTATTATTCATCTAAAGGGTTCGGAGTACAGTTTAGTCGGGCATCAACTTTAAACAATGCATCTCTAAACTCTAACACGTGATGTTATTTGTGTTAAATATCCCTACGATGACCGGGAAATCTATTTTTAGTCTATGAAATTTTAAACTTAAAAAATTATATAAAATGAACAAATTTATACAATGACTCGAAAATCTACTTTTAGTTTTAATTATGAATTTAAACCTTAATAAATTATATAGAATGAACCAATTTATATGCACTTGAAAATCTTGAAATAAATTATTTAGACGAGGAAAAAGATTATAGAAGGTTGCAACTTTAAAATGTAGAATTAAAAGTGCACCTCAAAAATCACTTGAAAAATGTTGTTTCAATGTTGAAAACCCTTGTAATTGATCATATTCATATGGGGATGTATGATTATGGAAAAAAAAAAATTTGAGTAAAAAAAATAGTGCATCTTGCAACACATTATTTAGACCATCCGTTTTCAATATTTTCTTATGTTTATAGATCTACTTGATTTTTACCATTTTTGGAGTTTAAAATTTTATAATTAGATGTAAAAATAGATTTTCAGATAATCTTAAGAATGTTTTGCATCAAAATTACATGTTCTGATAAAATTTGGAGGGGCGCCTTAATAGGATTGTTTAAGGTTGCAACCTTATTATAGAAACCACACGTGGAAAAAGTTTATATAGAGCCGAGGGTTTGAACAATCAAATTAGAGCCCACCTCAAAAATTTCACTAGCAAAAGTTCCTCAAATTGATAATCACGATATCATAAACATGAGAAAAAAATAGATTTCAAGTTTTGGAAATAATGCTTCTTGTAATGCATTTATGGACCGTCAAATTTCACGATTTTCAAGTTTTCATAGATCTGCTTCATTTATACTATTTTTTAAGCTTTAAATTTTATAGTTAAAGAAGAAAATATATTTTAAAGCTATCATAAAGATTTACAGTATTGAAACCACATTTCTCACCACTATTTGAAAGTGCGCTTTTTATTTTGAATGTTTAGAGTCTCAGCGCTATACAAACCACACCCTTTAATTAAAGGAAAACGCTTATATAATGTTGCAACCTCAAAATATAAATTTAAGGTGTACCTAAAATATCTATCAGAAAACATTGTTTTGATGTCAGAAAAAAATCTAATTGATCATTTCGATATCAAGATGTATGAATATGAAAACAAAACATATTTTCGAGTTCTTAAAAATAGTACATCTTTCAATACATCATCTGGACCGTTTATTTTCAAGATTTTCATGTGTTTATAGATCTACTTGAAGCATCTTTGAAGTTTAAAATTGTATAAGACAGGAAAATGGATTCTAAGATCATCTTAATAATTTCTTACACCTAAATTACATCTTATGATAAATTTTGGAGATGTGCCTTACTTTGATTGTTTTAAATTGCTACATTGAGTAAACTGATATATTTAACAATAGGAAAAATAAAATAGTAAATTAATCGATTAGAATTAATATTCGAGTTATACGCACTCAAAAGTCAAAATGCTATTAGTTATTTAACAACATATTTACTTATTTAATCACTTACAGTACATTTTTTTCCCTCATTCTTATTGTTTTATTAATCGATATGCTGTTACCAAGCTAATAGATATTTATCATTTAATTAAGGGTGTGGTTTCTATAAGGTTGCAACCTTAAATAATCCAATTAAGACGCACATCCAAATTTTATCATAATATGTTATTTTGGTATAAAAAATTCTTAAGATTATCTGAAAATCTATTTATAACATTTTAAACTCCAAAAAAAAAGGTTAAAAACAAGTAGAAATATAATCATATGAAAATATTGAAAATGGACGGTCTAGATAACGTATTGCAAAATGCACTATTTATGAGACTGAAATCTTTTTTTTTTAATTCATATATATTAATATCGAAATGATCAATTAGAGGGTTTTTCAACATTTAAACAACCTTCTATGATGAATTTTTAAAGTACGCCTCTAATACTACATTTTAAGGATGCAACCTTATATAAACGTTTTCCTTTAATTAACGAGTTTGATAAACATACAAGGGTTTCCCGTCTGTACGTGGTACCTTTGTTTCAGGTTTGAAGTGCTTTTTTAATTTTAGCATGTATAGCATACTCTCACGGCAGCATATTGTGTATCTAGTCCCTCATTCAAAAATACATGGAGATTTTTTTAATTTAAAATTACATAAACCACTTAAGAATCACTATATAATTATTTTTACAATAAAAACCTTAAATTTTGAGTTTTTTTTTGACACTTTGATCTAATCATTCAAAAATTAGCTCTCTAGAGATATCATTACTTTTGGTACATTTGAATTATTTTTTTATTGAGATATATAAAATATTTTGGCTTTTTTTGGGATGGTTTCAAATTTTTTATCGATAAAAATTTGCAATAAAGGGAAGGCGGGAATCTAGGTTAAAAAATGGCGGAATCTGATTGGTGGAGGGGACAACCGTTGTAATGTTAGGTTTTGGGGACAAGGGAGGTAGGGATGCGGGGTTGGACGGGGGCAAGAAGCATGTGATGTGGTCATAAGGAGAGAGAGAGAGACGAAGGGAGATTTTTAGAGAGAGAAGGAAATTTTTAGAGAGAGAAAGAGAGACTATTTCCTCGTAGCAACCTCTGCCTGAGACACAAGCCCACGCCCCCCGTTCATGGGCTGCGCAACAAGATTTGTTTTATGAACAAACAAAACGTCCCCCTTTCTCTCTCTCTCTTTCTCTCTCTCTAGAGCTTAGGTAGCAAAACATCAGAAAGGATTGCGATAAGAAGCCGTTCATTCTCTCTCTAAAAAACAAAGCATGTAGAAAAACGACTACGCACATTTGTCTCCTCTCTCTCCAAAAAATGATATGAATGTGAAAACATAGCCCTCTCCATCTCTCTCTCTCTCTAAATAAACATGTCTTCTCGTATCACATTCTCTCTGTTTTTGGTGAACTGTCTCTCTCATCTTCATAAACAACGATTCACCACATGGTAATATGATTCCCGTTTCTAAACTATCCCCATCACTCACTATCTCCCCTTTTTTCTCTCTCTACAAATCATTAGACTTTTAAACCTAGAAACTTTATTCGGGAATTTTTTTTTTTTTTTTTTTGGCTAATGTAGTGGGGAGGACAAACCCTACCCGTCTTTTCATATAGATTAAGGAGTTAGCTTTTGTGAAATTCTAAGATTGAAAACCACAATGTGATAAGTAAGCTCGGGAGCCCTACCCCCGTTCCTTCATCGGGAATAGTTGATACATATAAAAACATGGTGGATGGGAAATCCGGTTACCCACCGTCCAATATTACCTTAATTTATTTTTAAGCACAAAAAACCTAGATGAAAGAAGGGAAAAAAAAATGTGGTGACTTATGATCCGACTGAAGGGAGAGCATAATTCTAAATTATTGAAACAATATTCGGATGATGGTAAATTTTTGACCGGTTTAATTAGTAGAGTGGGTGGTCCCAAAACCCAACTCGAGGATAAACGCTGCACCGGCCAAACTTTTTAACTTTTTCACAGTATGTGAAGATCTCTCACTATTTATATTCTCTCTGAAAACAACCCTCAAGCTATTTTTGGAAATAAAACCTATTTTGCTATTTCTAGAAGTATTTTATTAAAAAAGGAAATTTCCTTTTTCTAAGGCCAATTTTATGATACATCTAGCAAATTTATTCAATAGAGATTCTAAAAAATCTTGTGGGTGACTTTGTTTTCAAGTGCCTTCATTCTCTTTTTCTTTTTCTAGTTTTGTTTTTAAATGTTAATGGTGATTTTATTAAGTGATTGAAAGTTTACAACGAGTGTACATCAGATAACAAATGCAAAGAAAGCCAGGGAGAAAAAGATAGAAAAGAAAAACCAAGAAAAAGGAAGACAAGATGGAGGGAGAGGGGACGAGAGTCGAAGAAGAGAAAGGAAGGCGGCAGAAGCTAAGTTGTGGTCATTTTTGCTAAGCTATCTGCTGCTTCATTCTTTTCTCGATTAATGATCTCTCTCTGCGATGTAGATTGAGTATTATTTCATCCATGGGAGGGGTCAAATGGCATGGCCAGATTGAGCAATATTTCATCCGTGATACGGGTCAGTCAAAATACTTTGGGACCGAGTATGGGCTCTCACACCACCCGATGATATTCACAGATGTTAAAACTATTAAAGTGGATATTTTAAAAAGTATATTTGTTTTGAAGTTATTTTATCACGAGTGATGTAGAAAAAGTTGTACTCGTAAGTTTGTGTAATAAAAAGTTGTAAAACTATTAAGTAATTAGTAGTTATTATTGTAAATTAGTAATTATTATTGTGAGTGGGGAGTTATTGTATGAAATAAAACCTCTATTTAAAGAGAGGTGTGTGGTGAAAAAATTGGGTCACATGTTTTAAAGTTAATGTTGAGTGTCAAGATTGTAATGCCTTCGTATACCCTATTTTTTATTTTTGAATAAAGTTTTTCTTCCACCTCATTTTAGTGCTTCCTTTTTTTTTTTTATTGGGTTGTGAGTCTTGGGCTAGTATGACATTGTTACACGAGTTGAGAAGCGGATTGTTCCAATATTGTGGTATGCGTCTTTCTCTACCGCATAATCTCTATCTATAATGATGCAATCCGGTCCATCATTAAGCCTTAAAACACCTTTTTTAATTTTCTAAACTATAACCAAACTAATAATAAAAATAAGGGGCCATTTCCATCAGTAAAATTACCAAAGAGCAATCAGCATGTAACATTGTATACAATATATACAAGTAACGGTCAGCCCCAATACCTGCCAAATTTAGGACCCCCACTAGATTTAGCAGAGAGTTTTCTTTTCTGAACAAAGAGGAAACAATTAAAAATAATCAAAATAAGATGGTTTTCTCTGATAACTTGTCTTCGTTCGCCGAAATCCGGGAATTTCAGGGGGCGTTGCAGACCGAATTAACGCAAAATTCAAACCACGAAAAAACGGTTGCGTCTTGATTTCGGCCGCACCCCTCTTGGAACCGAGCCGTTTTCTAGGGTCCTTTTCTAGAAGCCCCGTTATCAGGCTTCTTAACGCCGTTTCCAACGTTCTTTCGAGCGAAATCCCAGGCGGAAAGGTCAAGGGCCTCTTCACAATGTTCCTCAATGTAACGCTGTTATTTTCCCCAGAGAACGGCGTGCAGCCGTACACGAGCTCGTACAAGAAGATGCCGTATGCCCACCAATCTACGGCGTTGCCGTGGGCCCCGCCCGATGCCACCTCCGGCGATATATATTCGTGGGTACCCACAAAAGAGGAGGATCTCGCATGTACCGGCTCGGCGATGAACTCGCGATTAATAGCCGGTTTTTTGAGTTTGGGCCTCAAAAAACAAAGGCAAGATGGAGCAACATCATCATCCGGCCACTTCTCCGGTGAGTTTCGGTTTGCCGGAGAAGCGACGGGGATCTCAAGTGATGCATTTGTAGCTGTTGATTTGAGGGAGAGATCGAAATCGGAGAGCATGATATGACCGTCCGATCTGAGGAGGACATTCTCCGGTTTGAGATCTCGGTAGATGATGCCCAACATGTGGAGATACTCTAGTGCTAGTAAGACTTCGGCTGCATAAAATCTGTAAAAAAACATAATAAATAAACAAGTTTTGATTATTACAAATAAAATAAATGAGGGCTAATAATTCAGGTGTTAGGTATTAAGAGTTAAAAAATATGAATGGGAAAATGAACGATGAAAAACGGGGAAGAACGAAATAAAGGGATCAAGAAAATAAAATTTTCAGAGCAACTCATTTTGGAATAAATAGTGATGAGAATAAAGATATTTTTATTGAATAAAGTAAAATTCAATAAAAAAATATCATGGAAGAGAGAAAGAAACAGTTGTATTGAATAAAAAACATGAGCTAAAGTTTCAGTGAATATTTTGAAATCAGTTCATACGGTGAGAGACAGCATAGTTGGAAGAGTAGATAGATGAAAATTATCTTGGGGTTATTTATGGTCATGTCACATTGACTCAAAAATCACAACACTATTGAGAATAACAAAGTCCATATGGCCAATAGAAGTAAGGGAAATAACATAGTATTGTACCATTAGCGGGCATAGAGAAAGGTTTCTTTTTTGACAAAATGAGTGTTAAAGGATCGCATTTTCTTACATCTCCATCAATATGAGAGAATCTTATTCTAATTTTAAAAAAAGAAACTTTTTATTTTGATTAATATTCATTGATAATAAAAGCAAATTTCTGTAAAAAAGTCAGGTCCTTCTTTCCCCACATAGATATTGAATACAAGCAACTATTTGTATCACCACTGTAATTTTTAAAATGAACGCGTGAATGCCCTTCAAAAGTAAAATAAATTCATACAAAACACATGAAATGCAGATAATCCTGGTCTAGAAGAAGCTATTATCCCAGACGGGAAGACTGGCCGGAAAGACCCAAAATCACTAGAGTCTCCGTATTTTCCAAATCTTTTTATTCAATGTAAAACAGTCCGACTCCCATTCGGACAAAATGATCGAGTTGGTCAAATTGATTCGGAATCGACCGCGGCCCGAGCCAAAGAGAAAGAACTGCTCGTATTAATGCATGGACAAGTAGCTGACCGGAAAAAGGGAAGAAAACCCAACAACTGTTATTAAAGCCCAGGAAAAGGACAATATTTTTGAAAAAAAATGGTCCAGGGTGCCTTATTGGATGGTTGCAGAGCCTCAACTAACACACTAATTGATAAAATCTGTAAAATAAAGAGTGAAAACTTCACAAAAAAATGAAGCAAAAAAAAGCATGAAATTTAGGACTAAACTCAGTAGAAAAGACAAGAGGAAAGAGAATAGAGAAAATGATTAATTTGGCATAAATTAGTTTATTGTATGGAGATTTGAGCAAATGAGAAATGGATACAGATTTTTTAAAAAACCAAGCTTTGTATTGTGTGGAGAGAGAGAGAGAAAGCAAAGTAAGAGAGAGAACGCGAGCGCGAGAGCAAACTACACCCATTGAAGAGGAGAAGCGTAGAGAGAGAGAGAGCAAAAATACTCCATTGAAGAAGGCAGATAGAGAGAGAGAGAGCTAAAACTACTCCGATTGAAGAGAAGAGACGGGGAGATTACTAAAACTATGCCCATTGAAGACGAGAGAGAGAATGTCAGCTACTTAGCTAACATAGAACCCACCTTAAAAATGGAAAAAGAAAGAAAAAACAAAAAATAATTTCAATTTTTCAGCTCTTCAGAGAAAACCCACAATCCAATCAAACCAATTAAAACCCTAAAAAAAAAAGATAATTTTTTTTTAAAAAAAAGAAGCTATTTTTCATTAACGCACCTGGCTGAGCTCAAGCTGAACCTCTTCCGCTTTTGGCTATGTCTGAGAGTATGGAGATCCCCACCAGAGCAAAACTCCATTACCACACAAGAGAAATTTGAAGCCTCAAACTCTGCGTAAAGAGTAGGCAAAAATGGATGATCAAGCATGGCCAGAATCTTCCTCTCCATTTCTGCTCTGTGAAGCTTTTTCTTCGCCTCTAAAGCCTCTTTGTCCACAACTTTCATGGCGTAGTAATAATCCCCTCCTCTCAATCTAGATAGATAAACATTGCCAATATCGCCTGAACCCAACCTCCTAATTAGTCTAAAATCCCTGAAATTGAGGCCCCCATGCTTGATTTTTGCAGCTTTAATGGCTTCCCAGGCCGAGTCGTGGGTTTTGTGGGGCTTTAGTGGAATGGCCGGAATTTGATTTTCCGGCGACTTTCCGGTGAGGTTTTCAAAGGAGAGGCGGCTCAAGAGACTCCCGCTGCTGCTATCGCTTGCTGAGCTCTGGCCGGAATTTAACATGTCGGAATTTGTCTCACTGTCAGAGTCCGGTGAGTAGTCGGACATTTTCTAGTGAGAGAATGGGAAGATGCTTTAGACTTTAGAGATAGAGAGAGAGTGGGAGTGGTGGAGAGAGAGAGAGAGAATGGGGTGGGAAGAGTAGGAAGGGTTTTGTCGCTCTCGGTTTCTCTCTCAATGGGTTTGAAACCTTGAATCTCGAATGTAACGAGTTACGGCGAAGGAGTTAATACCCTCCTCTCTCTCTCTCTCTCTCTCTCTCTCTCTCTCTTTTTTGGCAATAAATCTCCTCTCTCTCACTACCTTCTTGGCGAGAACCCTCTCTCTCTAGAGTCTCTCTCTTCTCTCACCACAAACACTCTAAAGCTCTCTCTCTCCTCTCTTTCGAATATCTGATGTTAAGTCTCTTTACTGCATTCCATAATATAAAGGTCTCTCCCTCTGTGTTTCTCTCTACACATGCAACCCTTCTGTCTCCACCACAATCTAAGTCCTCTCTCTTTTATTCATTAAACTCAAAAAGAATAGACAATAGAGCTCTCTCCCTCTCTCTCTCTCTCTTGAAAGAAAAATATATATGTATGTATACATATCAGGTTAATATCGATGAGAAGATGAATATTGTAGTTAGTATACATGGAAGGGTGTGGTTTCCATGATGTTGCAACCTTAAACAATCCATTTAAGGTGCACATTCAAATTGTATCATAACAAATAATTTTGATGTAAAATGTTCTTAAAGATTATCTCAAAATCTATTTTTATATCAAATTATAAAATTTTAAACTCAAAAAATGATTAAAATCAGGTAGATTTATAAATATATGAAAATCTTGCAAATGGACAATCTAGATAATGTGTTGTAAGATGTACGATTTTTGAGACACAAAATCCTTTTTTTTTTTTCGCAGTCATTCATCTTCGATGTTGAGATGATCAATTAGAGGGGGTTTTTTCAATATTAAAACAACATTTTCCGATGGATTTTTTAAGTGCATACATAGTTCTATATTTTAAGGATAGGTAAAATGTCTTGTATTCTATGGTAAGTATAGTATAGGTGTGATTTATTTCTATTATTGTTATTTATATTTGTCTATATAAAACAAGCCCCTTTAATGAATGAACACCAAGTCTCTTTAAAAAAAAGAAAAAACCCTATACCCTTCACATCTCTAATATTTTAAACCGACAGGCTCACCCTCTTTACTCTCACTAATGAGCCCTTTCACACCTTGCTTAAATCTCTCTCTCTCCACACAATGCAAAGCTTGTCTCTTTACCACACTCTAGGCCCTCTCTATCTGTTATTAAACTCAAGAAAACATAGAAACAACTCGCTCACCGTCTCTCTTCTTCTAATATTTTAACTCACAGGCTTTCCCTCGTTTCTCACACTAGTGAACCCTTTCACACCTTATTAAAGCTCATTATATATAAGAAAACTTGTAAGTTTCAATGGTGAAGGGTTAAATTATATTGACATCCTTTCAAATCAAACCCATGTAATTTAAGAAGCTAAATTTAGCTAGAGAAGATCTAGACCGTTCAATTAAGTTTATTTTCAACATAACGTCTTACCCTCCATACCCATCATTAACATGTCCAAAAACAAAAAAAGACAAAAAAAACCACACATCCTAAATTTTAAGCCAAGGCTCTTGCGCCCAACCCCCCCCCCCCCCCCCCAACGGACAGGGTCATTGTACCCTTAAATTAGGGTTTAACACTCGGTAGATGTTACATGGAGCTACATATGTGGGGATCTAATTGCACAAAAAGGTCCAACCATGACATAACACCATTTTTTATAGAAAAAAAAATTAGTTAATAATACCACTTATCTATTTGATATAAGAAAGTCACAATCAATTTCGGTGGTCAGACACAAATTTTGTGGCGGGGAGTGACCCGTTACTCATGCTCAACATCCAAATGAAATTTTTTGAACTCTGCAACACCCACCAACTGCAAATTGTGAGATTTATAAACTTTGTCACACACCAAGTTGTTAGATTTCAAGTCTAATGGCTACAAGTGATTTTAAAATCCTAAAAGGCAATGATGAATGTTGTCATGGTATACGATCCTTTTTTGTATGGGAAAATATAGGAAGTGACCATTTATTTTTAATACAAAGAGGTGACAATCACTTTGTTCATCAAAATTCAAATCGGATGGGTGTGAATATATATTAAACTCTAAATTTAAAAAAATATTCTCGAATTTTATGACATACTTCAAGCCATCCAATTTAACATTTAATATCTATTACCAACTCTGATCTCCTTGCACACAAAAAAACAAAAGGTTCTTATGGTATTTGTAAATATTTTAGCTCATATTATGGGTGAAACGCAAAGAATTTGACGGAGTAAACGGTATTAAAGCAAAATTTAAGGGTCCTCCTATCGAACCCAAGAGTCTTATTAGGTCAATTTCGTCACCAAGAAAAACTAACCTTGGGTTAAACATACTATAAGCAGAGTTTAACCAGTGTTGAGGTAAGACTGGTCGGTTGCATGCGTCCTCAGATCACACGTGACACCGTGAGTAAACTTTACACGCCTGTGTATGACAAGCCACATGGTTCTTACTTTGCTTTTTACACGTGTGGTGGAGTCATTGATTCATTCATTGGAAAAGGTCTATGTTAAGGTAAAGTTTTGAACCTCACAAAATAATTCCTAACTTTTTGCGTGCAATGTTAGGTCAAATCAAAGAGTTAATATTTTGACACTTTACCATAAATATGAATATTTATTTCCCCTGCACTATGATATGACTATTCTTTTCCATTGTATTGAACTTTTTCACTATTCATGGTTTTAAATCATTAATTTTGCACATTTAAGTTATAATTGCCTTGGGTATTTTTTAAAGTGATGCGTTTTTTCATGCTGTTGTCATCATTATTGTTTTATTATCATCTTCTCATTATTATTAGTATCATAGTATCATTTCTCAATTGCATTATTAGTATCATTATTGTGATCATTGTTACTCTGGATATTGCAATGATATTTCTTTACGACCTTTTTTGCTCATGGAGGAAACCGTGGCCATACCTAATTGATATAGTAAGGTTTTTCTGGACCCGAGTGGTTCGGTTCTGGAAGGACCTGGGTTGCATTTGGTTCAAGTCGGAACAAACTTTGAACGACCCCCTCTTCCCTGTCCACCTAACAAATTTAGACTCGGACCTGGACTTGATAGACACAGTGAGTAAGTTTAGTCTAGTTCATTAGATTTGGGGTTTTGCGGCCTGATGCCCTCCTTTAGAGATATTATAATGATTTTGAAAATATGGTAATTAAGAAAATGAATCATCAGTAATTTAATTGGAAAAGACTTAAAAGCGGAATTCATGTCCTCGCATCCAGGTCTTAGCACTAAGGAAATGGGAAGGGCGCACAAGCAACTATACAATGCTTTAGGTTAAACATGGCCATATCCAATAGCTACAAAAAAAGTTTTGTATATTTTTTTAATAGGATGTATTAAAAAAATAAAATAAAATAAAAATTTGAATAAAAACTTAACGAAAATCCCTTTAAATTATTTTCGGGGTATTTTGGTAAAAATAATTATTGAAAATAATTTAAATTTTTTTATAAAATGCGCCATGTAAAAATACACCTGTATCCCACGGCATATCTCTCATGTTAGTATTTTCTTGTAGAAAAATATTTAGGTTATTTTAAATTTCAAAAAATATAATTTAAAAAAATGTGCTTTTGTGCATATTTATTTTGTCAGAGGAGAAGCATTGATAAAGTAAAATGAGAGAACAAAGTGTATATAGATATAATAAATGGGATTGTATACAATGAAACCATTTACCTTTAATATAGGGAGGTCACAATTACTTACAAAGTTGGAGAAACTTTCTTTTGAAGCCACTCAATTTTACATCCAATTGTCTAGATTAATTGTCACTACCTATTACCAAAGATAAATGGTCTCAATATGTACTTCTTTTTTTGGATAAGTCAGTGGAGGAGAAGGTCCCCCTACCCGAATTTTCATTAATAGGAAAAAGAAGAACACATTAATTTACAAACCCAATAATAGGGCAATTGCATCAAGTCATATACTAATAAAAGAGAAAGAAAGTCTAGCGGTCAATAATGCCAAATAGTTGCGCCTGCATTGGCCTATCCTCTCTCAGCAAGAGCATCAGCTATCATATTCACCTCGCGAAAGATATGAGCAGTATACCATATATGGAGCAAGAGCCTTCAACGACAGTTGTCAACTAACGTTTGTATGTTCTATGGGGCACTGCAATGATCCTGAATAGCATCTACTAGCATGGATGAATCACTTTATATTTGTATTAGGAAGCAGGCCATATGAATAACTAAGAGAATACCTTCTTCAAGAGCCTAGAATTCTGCATAATTATTAGATGCAGCTCCAAAGTGTTTAGCAAATGCTACAACAAACCCACTATTGTTGTCTCTTATGAGTCCACTCCCTCTTGTCAAACCAGGATTGTGTAAGTACGTACCATCAATATTCAATTTATAACACTAAGCTCAGGAAATGACCATGTGACTGAGATCGATGATTTTGGCTTCTGCGGGTGCCAGTTAATCTGTAAATTTTCGATAACCGTATTTTCTGACAAATAGAATGTGCCCATTTTTTAACTTTTGCTAGAGTCTTGACATGTGAAGTAACACGAATTACAACCTGCTCCCTCCTTAGAGCATTAGATCTAAAGATTCATATGTTCCGCTCCTCCTATAGATACCAGATGGTTGTGAAAAAGATAGTCGTCCAGATGTCGAGTAAACCATGTGATTTGAATTTGAAGGCTAGCCACCGAAGAAGAATATCCAAGGTCGTAGTACCATGTACAAATCTCTTGCCATACTGCCAAGCTAAATATCGCCAAACAATCAGCGAAAAAGAACAGTGAAACAAGATGTGACATAAATTGGCATTATTGTTTCTACAAAATGGGCAGATAGTAGCCATATGTGTACCTCGTTGCTGAAATATGATTGAATTCGGTAACCGACTATGCATAGATAGCCATGAAAACCATTTGGGTAACATTTTGAAGACCAAAGAGCACGAAATAAGGGTTGGGGTGACCTTTATACCGAATGAAGTTTTGCGCTGGTTTGATTGAGAAAGTTCTATCGGTAGAATGAATCCATACCAATTTCTTGAGCCACATGATAGTTTTTCCCTACGAATTTAATGGAAAGATCGTTCTTTTATTTATATTATTTCTCAGCAATTCATC